ATTCGTTGAATGCAGAATCATCATGATAAGAATGGATTCAGCGCTCAAAGTGTGGGAAATGAATATTATTCATTATACATTGCCATCAATCGAAAAATCAATGGCTTCATGGGCAAATGCGTAACCATAAGTATTGTTGTCTTTGCAAAAACAAAAGGATATTTTGTAAAATCTGTTCATCATAAAACTTTTTTTCAGAGACTTGTAGAAATTTAACAACACGCAGTCAAGTCATAGAACAATAGTATGATCTTAGATTAATAAGCTTAATCATTTTCTGGTTCAGTGTTGTCGGCTGACATTTTCCATGCTGATCTAATAAAACAAGGCAGTAAAACTTAAGGTCATTATGAAGAGAATGGCGTAATTAGGCGCGGCATTAAATACCTAGCAACCAGAAAATTGCAAAACTGCATATGAGAGACTCTCCCAATGAAAAGCCGTATAATGACATTGTCCTAATAATATCTTCAATGTATAAGATAAGGCATTCATACTTACAGCCAAACTAACACTTGAAATTCTAAATTGCATTTGAATAGATTGAGAAACACATTGTGTTAACAGAAAACATAATACTTCATTGTTAGTTTTCTTTATGACTTGTAACTGTATGCTGCAATTAATGATCTAAAATACAGTTACGTGAAGTTTCAAAGTTTTATTATGAACTCCTGTTGTTTTGTCATTTGTATCGTAATACAATTGATAACAAATAAGCCTTCTAACAATATAAAGTGCGGTATATGCCATGCCTCTTGGGTCGACTTATAGAGTAAGTAATGGAGCAAATATAACAGCTGTTTTCTCCAAGGCATCAACTTAATGTTGCTGTTTTCAAATCCTTTCAATATACCCAACTCACATCGTAGTACAGCTGCACTGAATTCCTAAAAAAAGCAAGTTCATAAGCATAAACAAAGCAACTAGAAATTCAATATTGGTTACATAAGTTAAGTGACAATTAATAACCGATGGCATGACCAAATATGTGTTCTTATCATATTATAAACATATCATTTAACAGTCCAAACATCTGATAACTGAATTATTATAATTTATGCTACTTCTGCTGTCTAGGTAAAATATATTGAATTTTGGTCAGTAAAGGAGAAGGTCAGAGACTAGCAATTTCATATTTATTTCACAACAGGCATATCAGTCATATGGAAGGTAATACGATTAGCCTTGAATATAGCTATATTTAACAAGATTGTCTAAGAGTTTATTAATCAGCTATGCTATGTGCTCAGTAATTGTATACACTACCATTAATTCAAGTGAACGGCAGTGGATCATTCGAACGATTCAATGATAGTAATGCTAAATGAAGTTTGCTTAAATCTTTGTCCTAATATATCGTTTGAAAATAACCACCTTTTAAATCATAACATAAATATTTATTAAATGGTTTGTGATTAAACGTATTTTAGTTAAAAATGAAAATTAAATTTTAAAGAAAATCAACGAAAAGAGGTTAAAACCTATCACTTTCTTAAACAGCCTAAAATGCATAGTTGGGTACCTAGAAGTGGCTGTATAGTGTATGCACTTCTACGGCAGTACAATAAGTTCGAAATTCGTAATAGTTACAAACAATTTCGTAAGCAAATCTACTTTAATGTATTTGTATAGACTAAAAAATAAAATAATCATGCAATTACAAGCTCTTTAACTTAACAACGATTAACTTTTATCATGCCGATTTACACCAGCTTCAACACCGAATAGTTCATTCTACGTTTAAGGAATTCCAATTTTGTTTATTTGTTTGTTTCATTTTACGACTTTTCCCAGCAGTATTTCAGTCATATAGGCGGGTAGTCTCATAACCATTGTTCCTGGAGAGATACACCAGTACTAGACTACCTTCCTCCGTGCTAAACTACCAAAGCATCTCCCTGGGATCGAACCCACGCCAGAGAGGTAACTGGATTAGAAGTCATCGACTGTAACCCCTCGACCACGGAGGCGGTAGGGACAACTAATGAGCTATGAAATAGTAAACGACCTTGCCAGAATACACAGATATAGACTAAACAAGATTGCAAGGATTGATACGATACTGGTGTTACAAAGGCTAAACCATTTATACAAGGTAACTGCGTTGTCATCCGATCGTTTTAAATGATACATGTACATGTATGTTTGTGCTATAATCACTGCATTAACATCAAAGTTCAATGTTGATTCAGCGAGCTAAAACAGTTTTAGTCTAGAACAATTTTAATCAGCCTTCGTCCAATCAAATATTTTAAAAGAGATGTTAAAACATCTATTATTTAATCTCCTAAAGCTTCTAACAACTTCATAAATTGTAACCATCATTAAGCTAATTGAATTGCTAGCAAACGCTTAAAGTCATTACCCTTTAGAGAAAATATTTCAATGCCATAAACTTGAATCTCCTTCCAGCGTCTAAAAAAACGTTTTACATAATCATAATTATATTGATTAAATGTAATTTAGACTAAGAAATCTGAGTACTCTTCTTAAATGAAACTTTGTACACAATTTGAATGTCAAAGTAAGAAAACATTCATTCAAAGGTATATGTCTGTAAACATGTCTTTACAGCAGTTTTCATTTACCTTTGGAAATACCAGATAGGACTGTGATGACATAACTAGTAAAAATGATTATAAACTCTTGTATTTAATACAGAAAGAAATATCGAGACATCTTTAGTTATTCTAGGCATCTATCCATTTATCAAACTTCACGAATGAGGAGGTAACTGACATACCTACAAAATCCGTTATACAAGTCGTGTCTTACGTAAAGTGAAATGATAAATTCGTGACAGATACATCAACTAATTGAATATTTCTATAAACTTACCATCTTAGACGTATGACTTACATATAGTCTTGCCAAATGCATGGTGAATTATGGTCTAATCTTATATCATAACTTGTTACAGAAGAAAGGATCGTTTAATCAATTGATAAATGTTTTCAAAGTTTCATACAGTCAGTCGACTACTGTTTTTAAATACCTCACAATATTTTTTGTAACTAATTCTATACAGTCGATATCTCTGTTTGAAATATATAAAAAAGATCGTTCAATAGTGATATAGTCCATTTTAACAAATATAAAAGGCAGCTGCAATAGAAGCAGAACAACAACAGGATTGTCTTATGTTTATGTAAATCTTAATATGGGAAGCTTTATCTATTGCAATGTATACTGAATGTGTCTTTACTTTCGTGCGGTGTATAAAAAACCTTTTTAATTACAAGTCGTGATTAGAAGATAAAAGATAAAAAGGCTATAAGTGCCGACAAGAAAATCTGAAGACTTAAGGGTAAATGTTTCCTGATTTACACAGCTTCCATAATGGCAGATATCTCCACCTGTTTCGACAGTTTTTTCTATCATATTACTAAAAAGGTCTTAATTAGAAAAGGAAAAAGCGAGAGAAAAAAATGAATTTAGCATTTTTATATTATTTTCTATGGCTTATGTACTTGCAACTGTATTCAAAGTAGTTGAATCGAAAGCAGGCCTAAAAATAAAAATGCTATGTATGCCAGACCCGAGAAAATACTAGAATATGTCTACTATGCTAGAAGATATAATAAACATGATTCTTCCTTTCAAGGTAATGGAGGAGTGATTTATCTATCACTAAATCTAGATGCTAAATGACAATTAAAATTGCAAGACATTTAAAGTGGCACATGTGTCCAGAATGTTTTCCCGGATGTTGATATACTCACTGAAACAATGAATGTGTCCTGGGAGAAATACAAAAGACACTCTAGATGATGGCATATTTACATTCCACCCTCCACCCAGAAAGTAAAAAATATCAGTAGGCTAAGAATGAAGAGTCTTTTTAACAGATAATTACAAAACAAAATTGGCTATACATGTGTAATTATTTAAGAATGATTATATAAATCTTTATGATTATATAATGGATGAACATAAAAAAATGTTGTTTTTTTCTCATTGACGTAGCGTTCTTTGTAATAGTCCTTTAATATGATGCAATTAGGGACCAATTAAACTTCTGCTATATGAATCAGTTGCACCATGTAAAAATCTATCAAGTTTTAAGTCATGTGCCTGACTACTTTGAAATATTTTAAATCACTTTTGCAGTGCAATGATAGCAACATTAAAAGAAAATATTAACTAAACGTATCATATCATTGCATAAAATATTACGTGGAGTGCTCGCTTGAATATATAACTTAATATAAAGTTTATAGAAAACATTTATATTTATCGGTACTAAAGAAAAAATTATTTTTTTTATAATTTTCAAGACGCATTCCCGTAGTAACCTTAATCATTAACGCTGCACCAACACTCTAATTATGACTACCATTGATTCATTTTTATTCATTTTTTTTATAAGTTTTATTTTTAATGTACCTGTATACGGTATTTTCGTGGAGGATGTGACACATAAAACATTATTATATCCTCAGTTCTGTCTCTGATACCTTACTTAAATTTTGTAAGATACCATCCCCCATGATATCGTTTATGCATGCAAATATGATAATGTCACAGACGGAACCTGGAAGCAATAACAAATGCACATTAGATATCATCACCCTTTTTTACTTTCTATTTATACTTCCTCCATGGCTATCAATAATTATATTTCTTTGTGCTGGAGATATTCATTCTAATCCTGGTCCATCTGCTGAAAGCAACTCTAGCATCAACTCATCTTTTGCATCTTCTATTTCTGAGCTTAAAAATAGTGAGTTAAGTATCATGTGTTTAAATATTCAGAGTCTTAGATCTAAGCTTGATATACTTGAACTCAAAACACAACCATATGATATTATTATCTTTACTGAAACCTGGCTGCGTGCTTAAGTGCATAACAATGACATTGAAATTCGAATTTCCAATGCCCGATTCGTAGCGACAGAACAGACAGAGTCGGTGGTGGAGTAGCGATCTATGTCAGAGAGGGCTTAAGATTTCATACAAGATTTGATTTATCTGTACGGAGTATCAAATGTGTATGGATGGAACTTGATATAATCAGTCGTAAACTTCTTCTAGGTGGTATTTATAGACCCCCAGACTCTAACAATCAGCATTGGCTTCTTCTTGAACAGTGTATAGATCAAGCATTTTCCGGGATCTAACAATCTCCTGATTGCTGGCGATTTTAATATATATCTTCTAAATTCTAACTCAAACAAACTGTCTAATCTTATAGCCTCTTGCAATGCAGAAAAACTTATTACTACACCAACCCACTTTACAGACAGTTCTTGCTAACTACTCGATGTAATGTTTGTAAAGAACACACATCATATCTTAACAAGTTTTGTTACAGACCCATTTATTCCAGATGTTAGTCGTTCTCATTTTCAAATTGTATCTGTAATGAAATTTTTCGAAACCAAAGGGTATCACATACAAACACAAAGTATGGCTTTATGATAGGGGTGATTACTCTGGCTACAGAAATGAAATTAACTCAGCAGACTGCAATCCATAGTAAACACTGACAATGATATAGACGAATTACTCAATCGAATAACTAGTGTCATATAAAACGCCACAGACAACAATATTCCTAACAAAATAGTTACAATAAGACCAAATGATGTTCCATGGATGACCAACAACAATACGTAATCTAATAAGAAAACGCAAAAAGGCCCACAGAAAAGCAAACAGATGAATACAGAGTTATCTTGGCAACAATTTAGAACAATCAGAAATGCGGTTACCAAACAAATAAGAAAAAGTAAAAATGAACATCAAAATAAAATAATTGAACAAATAAACTCATCAAATACTTCAACGAAAAATTGGTTTAAACTGACAAAATCTTTCACCCAAAAACAATCAATACCAGCGGACAGTCCTCATTGACAAAGGAATTTCTGCAAATAGTGACAATGAAAAGGAATAACTACAAAATAATTTCTTTTGTACACAATCAAACATAGACGTTCAGAAACAACAACTCCCAAATCTGAACTTGCACACAAACTCATATCTTCCCCAAAATACAATTACAGAATAAGTTGTCAAAGATGCTATCTCGTTAATTGACCCATCGAAAGCCTGTCGGCCAGATCTTATTCATATCCAATTACTGAGAGAAGAATCGTCTGTTCTGTCTAAACCTTTGGTGGCCTTTTTCAACATGCTTCTTTCAAAATGTACCTTTCCTACTTCCTGGAAAATAGCCAATGTCACTGCTATATTTAAAAAGGATGACCAATCTAAAGCCTTCGAACTACCGACCCATTTTTCTTTTAAACTATGTAGGTAAACTAATGAAGAGGTGTATTCACAATTACTTGTACAACTATATTATAACAACAACCTTCTCACGTCTTATCAATCCAGTTTCATCAAAGGTGACTGCACAATTATTCAAAAGACATACATATAGAACGATATTTGCAAGGCTCTTGACGAAGGCTTGGAGGTTTGCGCTGTGTTTTGCGATATCTCTAAAGCATGCGACCGGGTATGGCATCGAGGTCTCTTACATAACCTTTCCCTTCTTAACTGGTTCACTTCCTATCTCTCTGATCGCAAACAACGCGTTGTATACGTTGTATACGCTAATTGTTCTTCTTACTGGTCATCAATTAATGCTGGCGTACCCTGGGGCTCGATTTTTGGACCTCTGCTTTTCTTTATATATATATAAACGATATTGTTCGCGATGTAAATTAGAGCAAACGCCTTTTTGCAAACGTCACGAGCCTTAATATCATTGTAGAGAATCCAATAGACGCAGCCAAAAATTAAAAGGACGACATTCAAAAAATTCATGAATGGTCAAAGGCTTGGCTGGTTACTTTTAATCCGTCCAAAACAGAATCCATGATATTTTCAAGATAAATAAAACAAGTAAACCACCCCAAATTCAAATGAATGGAATTCAAATCAAACGTGTACAAAATCACAAACATCTTGTTGTTACCCTTTCTGAAAATGTTAAATGGGATACTGATATATCTATAATACTGCGACAGGCTTGGCAGAGAGTAGGCATCATGCGATCACTGAAATTTCCCTTAATCGTTCAAGCTTGGAAAGAATGTATGTGTCTTTTATCCGCCCCATCCTTGAGTACGCCGATGTTACATGGGATAACTCCTTGGACATGTTAAACAATGAAATTTAAGCAGTTCAAAACGAGTCAGCAAGAATAGTAACAGGTGCATCAAAGTTATGCATCATACGTAAATTACTAAACGACCACAAACGGAATACCCTGGCCGAAAGGCGTAAACAACATAACCTAGTTTTATTCTTTAAAATGTACAATGGAATTACTCCAAACTATCTCTCTGATATGATATCCCAACACAAAGAGTCCTACCACCTAATATATATCAGACAAGTTAACTCAAGGACACAAATGTATAGCTCATCCTTTCTTTCTTATGCAATAACAGAAAGGAACTTACTACCTGTAGATACAAGAAGTTCATCCTCTGTTACTACCTTTAAACGGTGCCTTAATTAAAAAAAACCTCCTCTTTATTTTATGTAGAAAGTCGTATAGACACATATTGCACGTACGTCTTAGTTTAGATTGTAGGTCCCTGATCTTTGGACTTCATAGAAAGTCTATTATCCAGTCTCCATTATGCTCATGTTCTTGTTATGATGTCATCAGAGGCATGCTTCCATGTCCCCTGACACTTAACAATCTCTTGTACAGAGACGAGCGCCTGAGCTTTAACACGAACGAAAACATTATTCTTAAAGTTCAACAGTTTATCCTAGCTTCATAACGTTTTACTAACTAATATTAACTTTTTTTGTCCATCATTACCCAATGATATTGTGTGCAGACATACATTCTTTATCTTAATTCAAAACTTTTTTTAAATATTTTGTCTATTTTATCTTCGAAACATTCTAAACAAAATCATCTGAAAAAATTACTTAAATTGAATATTAGTTAAACACAATATTCTACATTGCAATAGAAATTGTTTAGAGTAATCTCCCAATATTATGAAATAATCTTAAAACAGAAGTTTTCTTATTCTACTACTCTAGATAATAATGTTCTAACAAATTTATTCATTTTAATTATTTATCTGATTTCCTCTTTCTGTATTATTCTTACCAGATATGTGCATATTTTTTATTGCAAGTACGTTATGTGTGGAAAGGAATTTACATAAGTCACATTTGACTCTTATTTGATTCCAATCCACGAAATATATCAGTGTGATTGTATATGCTTACTGTATATATTTACGTTGTAAAAATAGAAATTAAATATTGTTTAAGCTAAACATTAATTTTCAGTTACAATAATTACGTTCCATTAAATGAATAAAGGAAACATTTCATTTGCTACTTGCATACGCAAAGTATAAAGTGGCCAAACGATATGTTTTACCCTGTTTTAAAACTAATTTGTTTTCATGGGGACGCATTTGTTTAACCCCGCGTCGCAAATTTTAAAATCCGGTTTTCACACTTCCCCTGAAATATGACCTTTATCTAAAATTTTTCCCTTTAAAAAAAAACTAAACCCGGGGTTTTTTATTCGAACGAGTCCCCTCAAAATTAATTTTTTTCCCAAAATAAGATTCTTCTTTTTTTAATTTAAAACTTTCTTTTTTTACGTTTCAAACTTTTTGTAGAGTATTGATTTGCGTAGATTTACTGTAAAGTATATGACATTTATTTTGTTACACAGATTAAATTTTTTTTTTCCCTAAAGGGGATTAAAAAGGGGTCAAAAGGGGATTTATAGAATTTTACCCGGGGAATGGGGGTTTTTTCTCAATGGGGGTTTAAAGTTGGTAAGTATCAAACTGAAAAAAATTAAAATTTTATATTTTTTTTTTTCTTTTTTTTTTCTTTTTTTTTTTCTTTTTCTTTCTTTTTTACTTTTATATTTATTTATGTATTTATTTATTTAATACTTTTTTGTATAGGTTACTGTAATTCTTTAAAACGCGAAGAGACATTTTGTTGTATATACATCTTTATCGATATCTATATATATACAGTGTAAAATTAAGAAATAACATCGGCCTGAGAGGTGTATATCGGCTATTTAACACCGGTTTGGAGTTTTGATGTGCCTGAGTTGTTTATTTTTTGCATCAAAACGACAAAACCGGTGTTAAATAGCCGATATACACCTCTCTGGCCGATGTTATTTCGATTATAACACGATTAAGTAAGGAAGATCACTAATGTTATTTTTTTCAAGCGGAAATAACTTCCGGTGCCGATTTTCGTATGACGCTGTTCGATTTTCGCACCCTACTGTTGCAAAGATATAGAAATTATAAAACAAAATAAATAATGAGAAAACAAGTTATTTTATCAAGTTTTCAACAATAAAAATTTTCGTCGAATTTTGTTTACATCAGTGCCCCATTTATCATTCTTGTACATGTATGTATGAAATAACGTCAGCTTGTTAATGAATGAGTTGTTGACTTAGTATGACGTCATTACGCTGTTTACGGATTAGCGCCGTTTTGTCAAAATATTTATTAACTGATATGAATCGAATATGTGGCGCTAGTGTATGTGAGATATTATTTCGGTATTGTATGAAAAGAAAACATTATAAGAACAGAAAATATAAATAAAAATGTTTTTATTGTTGCTTTAAAAGGCCTTTTAAACTATATAATCGAGGGTGAAAACATAACAGCCGCCCTAACCAGTGTTTATTGGGATTTTTTTTCTTCTTTGTCTATAGTCACAAAATAACGTGGAGTGTTAGAATAAAAAACAATCTATTTATCGATGCAATCAATTTTAGTAAAATCTAATTTTATTTTTTCTCCGTACCGGACAATAGAAAGTATCATGCAATTCTCAATATCTGTTTCAAGGTAATGGAAAAGTCATCCATTTATCACCGAACCCTGATAATGCTACGGGAAAATTTAATCTGATAGACATCAAAGGTGACACTAGTGTCCGAATTGACGATTTAAGAGTCGTTGCAGGAGATTCAATGACTTATCGAAACAACGAACTTGACGATGAACTCAAGTAAGAATTATTGTATCATTCCATACACAATCTCTATAGGGTTTTAGAAAAAAGGAAATTACGTTGTATTTTTAAATAAAAACGAATAAATGTATAGGAGAATTATTGTTGATCAAAATAAAAAAGATAATAAAGTTAACGCAATGAATTTAAAAAATGTCAAGTTAAATATTTTTCCAATATTCCCTTTAAAGAGTGTTTACATATTTACAGGCCCTATAGTAAAACAGAAATTGTTAAGCGAGCAAAACGGAAACTTGGAACGCTTGGATATGATTTGATGAAATACAACTGCGAACACTTTGCTACGGAGTGTAGATATGGACAGGCTAGAAGCAAACAGGTTTAGCTTTATTTGATGTTTATTGATTGATTGATTGACTGATTGGTTGGTTGATTGAGAAACTTTAATTTTAAGTACAAATACAAACGAAAAATTGTGTCTGTATATATGGCCACAAATGGTCAGATAATTCTGTAAATATTACGTTTTAATGTCTTTTGTAATACAATGAAATTTTATCTCACTATGTTAGAAAATGAACAGTAATGATGTATTTGTTACAAATTCCTTTGTCAAATAAGTAACATAAACCACATTTTCAGTATTATTTTATACCATACAGGTCGAGGCTATTGAACAAAAAGCGTATGACTGGATCACGCCGCCTTTTTATCGAGCTTGGCAAACAGGAGACGTGACTAAATTTCTAGCACCACCCGTCAACCAGGTTATTGACAAAGTTTTCTATTCCCCACCTGGGGACCTGGTGACCTGGTGAAATAATAAATAATGCATTTGCATTATATAACAAAAAACAACAACAATCCCTGTTTCATATTAAGGGTATGATTAAGTAGATGATGAAAGTAAAAAGTAATGTCCAATACAGTATATTAACACTATTGTTTGCTCAATTTTGATAAATTATTTAAAAATCACCAGGAAATAAAATACGTTAACGTATTTACTTGTATTATGTTTATCTTTAACTTGACCTAGAGTGTACGCCAAGAAAGGAAAAATAAACGTTCACATAACTTTGTTGGATCCTAGCAATTGTTCGAATCTGGCATTTTATAAACATGTATTCAGAATATGCCTCTTGACTCTATCTTCTTATCTGGAAATAATGTAATAATTGTAAACAAAGGAGTTATTAAAACAGACAAACACCAGTTATTGTCATTGTATTACTCATGTAGTAATAGACAAAAAATGTACGAGTATTATAGCGACAGCAAATCGTTCTAAAGCCATAAAAATATTAACGAAACGAGCAAGACGCCTTATAATTATCACGCCTTATCACGCCTGTACATCTTGAACTATAAGGTTCTCGTAATAAGAAGTAAATGAAAACGAGCTAAATATTGTGTAATTAATTTTCAACAAGCATATGTACGCTTGTACAAAATATTTTGAACATCTAATGAGATTATCTAAAACATATTGAAAAATGTCTCTGTTATGTTGTTACTGTAACTTGAATAATTATAAACACAAACTATTTATCTTTATCAAAATTAATACTTGAACGTTATAGAATTACTGTTTATCTGTCTTAACAAACACATAAAGAAGTCGTTTTGAAATATGACACTTAAATCTAATTATAAACTATAATTTTATCTATCGTTGTATTTACACCAGATACTCTATTTAATTTTGCAATTTATTTTTTAACGTTTGCCATTAGGGAAAATATTATTAACCATATGAGAGTAAAGATCAGTAAGAAAAAGAAATGTTCAACATCTATAAGTGTAACACTGAGAATTAGAGATAGGTCCGTGTGCCTGTTTCTCAAATCTTCTGTCTTGGAAATTATTATGACTGTATTTTTCATTTCGTTAAATTTGGTAGACGATAACATGGCCTTGTTATGACAGGCAATTATTGAATCATAATGACTTTCATCTTGCGGATAAAAGGTGGAATATCTAATCTCAAAAGCACACCTTCCGGTGAAAAGTCATTTACTTCTGCTCAATTTTGAGTTGTATTAGATTTTTGTTATCAGAGTACTCCATTATTTGACTTTATACTACGGTGAGATAATGATATCATAACTAAGCGAGTTTTCTTACTCGTTTTAAGAATTAGTTTAACAGGATTGCTTGCTAAACTTGTCAATGTAAGGGATCTTCAAATCAAAACTATTTACATAGCCGTTCAAGTCCAGCTTGAAATGTTCAAAGTCATAGTTTCTTCCTTTAAAACTTTTTTTGTGTCAGATTTTCATATGATTGTATAATTGTATTACATTGATGATAGTCTCTGTATTTGTCATAAGACAAGTCAAAATATAACTAAAAATTATGTACTTGAAGTCAATTTATCGGAATTTGTATTTTGCAATATTGATGAAGGATTTTAAAGACCAAGAAATTGAAATATTTTTTCTACTTTATTCAAATTAATTCAAATTTATGCTACAAATTAATGACACATCGTGTAACAGCACAATTTAAATCAGACTTTTTAAAAGTTTAACAAATGCTATGAAATAACATGCTATAGTATAACTTGTTTATAGTGACACTAATTTGGATTTGTTAATGATGTCATTTTCGGGACGTTGTCGTATATGGATAGTTGTGAGTATTGTACCATTTGAATAAATTTTCAGATGAAAGACTGATAAGACATAGAATTATCTTTATGAACATGAATTTTATAATAAATATGAAATATGATATCTTGCATGCACTATTTCTATATTAATTTATTTCGTTTATTTGTACTTGTTTTAATATTACATTTTTCAGTCAGATCAGTTTTTGCATCACTGGTTCAACAAATCTATCTTCTCTAATTTAAATCCTTTTTATCTGTTCTGATATATTATGAATACTGTCATATGTTATAATCGATTTCCGAGAAACACTTTCATCACTACTAAATCAATTCCATTTCTTTCCATTAGATTTTACACTTTCCGTGCTGTTCTTATTAGACGGATGAATTGTGTTTGTGTCACTAAAGTGAATTCTTTCTTTATGAAGCTTGTTTTATATTTCAAATATTAAATTAAATATGTACATATTGAGACAAATTTGAACACTGAATAAAGCTAGAGAAAAGTTGTCTGAAATTTTACTACATTCATGTTTTATGAACATTTTGAAGTAAACGAAATTCAATTTGTTATTAACGATGACTTCGACAATAAATTATAATCTATTCGTACGTACTTTATTGAAAAAACAATGATGACCACCGCTGCTGTTGGCGTATCGGAAATGTAACGGTCAAATGAAAGCATTAAAATACGTTTCAGAACTGACAAGTCAGATCAATAAGCGGTTATTACAAGTGTCGTCACAAGCGGTTTAAATTTGTTTATTAAATAAATTTAATATTAAAAAGATCAACAGGCTCGACATATATACTGGTATAGTTTGATTGTCCTTGAAAATCAAGTGTTTTTTTAAGCCATTTTATACTGTATTATAGTATTTATATTTTTGTATTTTCAAAGACATCTCAAAAAAGACATTTTATTTATAATTTAATTTGGACATTAAGAAGTTAGTATACATTTTTATTGTCTCACATTAGCACACAAATTAAAATACGTTGTTCCACATATCTTTCTCAGAGTTATCTAAAAAAAATAAACTAACTTTTGTGTTCAAAACATAACAGTCAGACATGTACATTACTGACCCGACTTTTTCAAACTGTATATTTCTGGGATAACAGGAATCTAGCAATCTTAATAATATCAAATGCAGGATATGTCATGCTGTTGTATTATATATACACATACGGTATTGGAATTATCTATAGCTTCAATACAATACTTACGACCTAACATGAAATATATACTTACATGTACGCTGTTAGTTACTCATGTCCGAGCGTATGAGTAATATACATATATGTATATGTGACATTTGAACCAAATTTTATATCAAATGTTCAGCGATGATTGTACTTAATGTCCATATTTGTATATCATTTGGTATAAGATCTAATTATTACTTTCTTGCATAGCAGACTGGCGTTTCGTGAGTTTTACCCATGCCGGAAATTTCATCTGGCATGGGGGGTGCCAGATGAGTCGCGTGCCAAACAACAATGTCATTTTAGCGCGCTTTATAAATGAACCGCGTTAAAATGACGTCGTTTTAGAAGGGAAATATGTGCTTAGGATGACGTCATTTTGCCGTTGTTATTTAAGTTGTAAGTTCATACGCTATTGTAAGAAAAAAGTTATGGATAATATGACTTTGATTTCCATGAACATATATCATATTGAGGTAAACCATTTAAAATACGAAATAGTATGGCAGAATATGCAAGAAAAAATATCTGACATATGTTTGCGGTTTGGACAGGAAAAGCCGTTACTCGGGAACCCGCCTATTGGGCGGTAACGAGGCTTGCCAATGGGTTGGTCCCCTCGGGACGGATATTCCGGTCCGAACCGCAACATATATTATTACGTGTACCGAATTGGAATTGCCCTTCGTATAGGAAATATATTAGATTTTTAGATTTGTCAGTTTTTATTGTCTATTTGTAAAATTGGTTAAAAATGATTAACAGAAACAGCAATTTTCTTATCGAAAAAGAGGCAATGGTGATGATGGTGAAACGTTACACATACCGCTACAGACATCGTGGTATGGTCAAACTGATCTACTACTTAAAATTGTTCTTCAGCATTACCGTACCGGTTAAAAATCAATATGCCCCTTAGGTAAATTAAAATCATATTGAAATCAGACTAAAGTTAGTTAATATTCTACAGCTATGACTACCCTTTTAATATAGGCATGTTTGCCCTAATCATATAAAACTCATCTGAGTAAGAAATCAATCATAAAAAACAACAAGACAATGTTTTAGATACCTCGTTTTATTATAATTATAGATATGGTCTTCCGCAGGAAGCGAAAGCGAAATAACAAATAAATAAACATTTGTTGCTATGAAACATGAAATGATTATTACAGTCAATTTGATTTACGTTTACAAATCACCTGCATCTAGTCGACAAACGCTTTCAATTTATTCGTAATGTAAATTTATGACGGAATATATATTATTCTACATGTTCTATCAATCAAATAAATAGTATTCAACGACAGAGACATTGAATTGTAAATTAAAGTAAAGCTTTCTATTTCGTTTGTATTAAGTTCATTATAATAAAAGCATTCCCAGACAGTATTTATTTTTTACACAGCAGACAGACAAATAATTAGGGAGAAGTATATTGTCCCTGAGTTTAATATGTGTATATTAGTTTGTAAAAAAAGCTGACTGCTTGTTTATTGACGTAATTAGCTATGCTGATTTAATTAACCAAAACAATTAAAACAACACACAACGTGTAAATTTGTTGCGAGAGTAGACGTGATAACGCCAGTCACCTTAAATTTCATGCGACCATAAAAAGACAGTTATGCACATGCGCAATATCTCAACATCTAAAATTATATAACGACTAACTTAATTTATTCATAATACCAAAACCGAGGAAATATGAAATATATTAGATGAAGCATTTGTTTTGAATGTGAGTTTATTATTGGTTAAATAGCAAAATTCGAGAAAATAGGAACTTTTCGAATATTTTCAGTGGTAACAATTTATATATACAATGTACTTATCAATTAAAACCATTTTGAAAACACTTATTAAATATAATAAATGAAATAAATAGTACCATGCGATCAATGTTTCTTCCTTTCTTTTTTCTCTTTTGTTTTCAAAAATGAATGTAATGTTCTGTTATTTTCAGACTGAAATTGAATAAGAGCCAACACATGATACTTTTGTATTTTTAAAACAGGCATATGACTTTATGATTATTAGAACATTGAACTTAAAAGTTATCATTTAATATAATTGTAAGATTGGTAAGTTTAAATGTTTATGCAAAGAGAGGCTATGATTGGACTTATATTTTGTAATCACTCTTTGGAAGATCAACACATTTCACGGTAAACATATCAAATGAACTTGTCAAATCTCCTAGCCTGGACACAATTATTTATTGTTGTTAGTTAAAATTTCAATCATGAAGTGATTAAATAAGTGAACGGTGCGGCCTATGATCAAACCACACGTATGTAAAGGTTGTCCTGGTTCTGCACTAGCACGTGTAACTTAATTATATAGAATTGTTTTGCTTAGGATAAAGAACAAAAAGCTTAAAACTACGGCTTACCGTCATTTTGGTGCAAATCAATTACTACACTTGAGTTATGCAATCGCTTCTTTATCAGATTGTTTCAGATGATGTGTTTTGTTATGATTTAATTATATGAACATTAAACATTGATCATGTGAGATAAAACAAGCGTTTAATCTAGGATAATTTAAACCAAACATTCTCCAATTTAATACTGAAACAGAGATTCCAAATATTTGATTTAATCTCTAAAGCTGCATTTCAAGCCCATAACATGTTTTCACTGTTAAACTAATTGTATTGCGTACAAAAAAGAAAGAACTAAAATTACTAAAGAGGGTCCAAAATGGTCAAAATAAAAATGTTGCAGGGACGGTTGATTAGGACTGTTTATGAACGATACTAGAAAGTGAAAGCTACTGTCTATACCCCAAGCACCGGCTTAAGCAGTATTAAATATTAAACATGAAATGGTAAACTTTTAAAATTACGATTTTATAAATTGTTTAATAAAATATTGCAAACATTTGAGTGACCTGATGAATTTGTATTTACAAACCTGTTTCACGAGCTCTTAAAATGCATATACATAGACTAATCGTATAATTGCTTTGACACTTTACTACACTATTGCGTAATTACGCAATACATAAGGGCCTTAATTGCCGTTTAAAACTAATAAACAATGATTTTTAAGAGTGCTGTATGAAAACAAATTAGCTGGCATTCATTTCAAAGTGACTTGCGGGAAATCTATGTTTTTTCAGTGCAAATCGATCCATTTTTTTTTGTAGTAGATTTCTTGACTATAAACATTGTAACTTAAACATTAACACACTATATGAATCGTTAAACATATAATCAAAATACCATTGCAATTATGACCCCGATGTTATCTGACTATGCATGTTTAATAAGTAAATATGCAACGGTTATCTAGTTAAATATACATATGTTTGTTTCCCTTTTTCTTTTTATTTGTATGTGTTTTCTTTATACTGGAATGTAGAATGACACGCCAGATCATTTCATTTAAATTATATAAATATCCAATTTACATGCAACAATATCAATATTACTATATGAGTCACTCGTATATCATTCAGTTTATTTAGTGTTATGCAAATAAGTGACCAGACAAATACTATTTATGGACATAGACAATTAATATTGCGAACTTGTCCCACTAGTTTTGTCATTTTATTCAGACATATGCATAATATATAAATGCATTTGAATTACGTGCTAAAATGACAAATCAAATATTTTACGTATCTCAATTATCGATTTCTAAAATATCTACACAGTTATTGTTAGTCATATGTTTTATTCCCGCACGTATTCAGACAACAGACACAACAGCAGGCACGAAAGTAGACATGACAGCTAAAGCTACATCTGTAAAAACGCTGTTGATTTTTGGTAAACTATGTATACAATTGCCGTTTGTCTATCATTAAAGAGGCTGCCTTAAATGCTTAACGGTTAATGTTCATTCTGCTTTAGTAGCTAATGACAAGTTCACACTATAAGATCTAGTTAACACATCTTCAGACAAAATTATATTTTTGATTAGCCACAACGCATAAGCCAAGTATAAACTCAGTTACAAGAGTCAGTTATTTATCGCTCGTTGACGATAAGTCCATATAGTTTGTAGACAGTATTTATTATCATTTTTATCACTATAAGGAAGCACAACCGATTCATAAATATGTATTCTATAATTCATATTTGTCTGATACTTTTGTCTGTGTATTTGCCGTGAGATATAGTAATGACTTAATAATTTGAGAAGCTATTTATTACTTTTCGAATAAGTGATTGACACTCTAAAACAGAAGTCTATGTTTGAGGTCAGGAAAAATATTTTCAGTT